AAAAAAACATTCACCAAAAGATAAAGAAAGCAATGATAATAAATAACCAACACATGGGCCAGGCATTTAACTCAGTGGTGCTGCCACCTCCCTTGCAAGCACAAGGTCCTGAGTTCAATCCCATTAACAACAAAAAAAAAAAAATTCAAAAAATAACTAACACACACATCTCAGTCATAGCACTCAATGTTAACGGCCTCAAATCTCCAATTAAAAGACACAGACTGGCAGACCAGATCACAAAACAGAACCCAACAATCCGTTACATTCAATCAACTCATCTAATCCAAAAAGATATTCCTAGACTAAAAATTAAAGGATGGAAAGCAACATTTCATGCACCAGGACCCTGGCAAGAAGCAAGGGTAGCAATTTTAATATCAGACATGACAAATTTTAAGCTAAGACTAATTAGAAGAGAAAAAGAAGGTCACTACATACTACTTTTAAGGGAACAATCCAAAAAACAGAGAAACATTGATAAACATATATGCACCAGATACTGGAGCACTTATCTTCATAAAAGAAAAAGTGTTGAAATTAAAAGATCAAATAAACATTAACACAATCATAGTAAGGGATTTTAATAACCCACTTTTACAAAGAGATAGATGAACTAAACATAAAACCAATAAAGACATTTGAGAGCTGAACCACACCTTTGAACTTATGGACTTAATGGATATATACAGAGTAATTCACCCAACTGCAACAGTACAAACAGCACACGGTATTTTTTCCAAAATATATCACATACTAGTCCACAAAATCAGCTTAAGTAAATATAAAAAAATAGAACTTACCCCATGCATACTACCAGACCACTGTCCAAAGAAAATAGAAATCAACAACAGAAGAAATTTTAGCAAAAGCTCCTGGAAAATTAATAATATACCCCTAAACAACAAATGGGTCATAAAGGAAATCAAAGAAGAAACTAAAAATTTTCTAGGAGTTAATGACAATGACTGTACAACTCATTGAAACTTCTGGGACACTATGAAAGCAGTTCTAAGAGGAAAATTTATCACATTCAATGCTTACATTAGGAAAAAAGAGCAAGCTCAAGATACTCAAGAAACAACAATAATCCATGGAAAACTGAAATTAATGAAGGAAATTATAAAAATGAGAGCAGAAATCAATGAAATTGAGACCAAAAAATAGTTTTTAAAAAAATCAACGCATCAAAGAGCTGGTTCTTTGAAAGAATAAATAAAATAATAAGGCCCTAGGAAGACTTACCAAAAGAAAGTGAGAAAAGACATCAGTGCAATTAGAAATGAAAAAGGTGAAATCACAACAGATATTGTTAAAATCCACAAGAGAGTAACTACTTCAAAAAATGATATTTCAACAAATTACAAATTTTGAAGAAATGGACAGATTGATAGACACATAGAAATTACCAAAACTAACCCAAGAATACATAAATATGCTTAACAACCCAATTACAAGCAATGAAATTGACACAGTAATAAAGAATCTAGCAACTATAAAAAGCCCAGAACCTGATGAATTCACTAATGAATTCTACAAAACCTTTAAAGATTTTATATCATCAATACTCTTTTTTTTTGGTACCGGGGATTGAACTTGGGACCTTGTGCTTGCGAGGCAGAAGTTGGAACCACTGAGCTAAATTCACAGCCCATCATTAATACTCTTTACGTTCTTTAAAGAAACTGAAAGGGAGAATGTTCCCAAAATCATTTATGGAAGCTAGTATCATCCTGATCCCCAAACCAGATAAAGACCCAACTAAAAAAGAAAACCATAGGCCAGTCTCCTGAATGAACAAAGATGCAAAACTCCTCAACAAGATATTAGCAAATAGAGTGCAGAATATTATCAAAAAGATTCTACATCATGATCAGGTAGGTTACATCCCAGAGATGCAAGGATGGTTCCACATCCATAGGTCAAAAAATTTAATACAGTGGACCCTTGACTTATGAACTCGATTGGTTCCCAAGGGCTGGTTACAACTCAAGTTGGTTGTAAGTCAATACAGCTGAGATCTGGATGTCTACCTGGGTATACCCTATAGATAACAAGAGGTAGATGAATCTTCCATTAACCCAAGTTGTTCGTATATCAGGCCAGTCATAACTTGAGGGTCCACTGTACATCACATAAAGTGAAGCAAACTCAAAAACTAAATCATAGCAATAGATAACAGAAAAGGCTTACTACAAAACAAAACACCACTTCATGATAAAAACCCAGAAGTAAACAGGTATAAAAGCATTTATGAATATAATAAAAGCTGTAGTATATGAAAAACCAATAGCCAATATCATAATAAATGGGGAAAAACTAAAAGCATTTCATCTAAAATCAGGACTAAAACAAGCATGTCCACTATCACTTCTTCTATTCAACATAGCACTTGAAATATTAACCATGTAGGCAAGAAAAAGAAATAAAAGGGATTCATATAGTAAAGGAAAAACTCAAATTATTATCTGCAGATGACATTATACTCTACATAGTAGGCTCAAAGAACTCCACCAAAAAGCCCTTAGAACTAATAACTAACTTCAGCAATGTACCAGGATACAAAATCAAGACACAAAAATCATTAGCATTTGTGCACACCAACAATGAACAGGATGAGACGGAAATTATGAAAACAGTACTATTCACAGTAGCTTCAAGAAAAATCAAATATCGAGGAATTAACCTAACCAAGGAAGTGAAAGACCTCTACAGAGAAAAATATACTACTCTGAAAAAGGAGACTGAAGAAGATATCAGAAAATGGAAAGATGTCCTTTGCTCTTGGATAGCCAGAATTAATACTGTCAAAATAGCCCTACTCCCAAAACTGTTATGCAGATTCAATGAAGTCCCAATCAAACTACCAACAGCAGGCTGGGGATGTAGTTTAGTGGTAGAGAACTTGTTCAGTAGTGTAAGGCCCTGGGTTCAATCCTCAGCACCACGAAAGAAAAAAATACCAACAGCATACTTTACAGCTCTAGAGAAGCCAATCTTTAAATTCATATGGAGCCAGATGAGACCCAGAAGAGCACAAGCAATTCTGGATAACAAGACCAAAGCAGGAGGCATAGCAATAATTGACTTTAAGCTACACTACAAAGCAATAGTAATAAAAACAGCATGGAACTGAAACAAAAACAAGTACATGGATCAATGGAATAGAATTGAGGATACAGAAACGTCTCCAGACACATTCAGCTATTTGATCTTCTACAAAGGGGACAAAAAGCATATGTTGGAGGAAAGATAGCCTATTCAACAAGTGGTGCTAGGAAAACTCATTAACTGTGTGCCAAACATTGAAAGTGGACTCTTATCTCTCACCATGTACTAAATTAAAAGTAGAATGGATCAAAGATCTAAATATTAAAACAGAAACATTAAATCTACTGGAAGATAAAGTAGGTAAAACACTCTAAGACATAGGTGTACAAAAGGATTTTCTAAATAGAATCTCAATTGCACAAGAAATAACAGAAACACTCAACAGATAGAAACATATCAGACTAAAAACCTTCTGTACAGCAAAAGAAGCAACCAATAGAGTGAAGGGACAAACTACAGAATGAGAAAAACTTTTGCCAGTTACTCCCCAGGCAGTAATATACAAAGAACTCAAAAAAATGAAACCACCTGAAATTAAAGACACAGTCAAGAAATGAGCTAGAGAATTGAACAGATATTTCACAGGGGAAGAAATACAAATGGTCAACAGATACATGAAAAAATGTTCAATACTCCGGCCATTAGAGATATGCAAATTAAAACACTAAGATTTCATCTTACTCCAGAAAAAACTAGCAATCATTAGGAAATCAAACAATAACAAATGCTGGTGTGGCTGTGGTAAACTACTACAACCAGCATGGAAATCAGTACAAAGATTTCTCAAAGAACTGACATTAGACATTCCATACGACTCAGTGATCCCCCTGCTAGGTATCTTCCCCTAAAGAGCTTAAGACATTATACTAGAGTGATAAATGCATACTGATGTTTATACCAGAACAACTTGTAATAGCTAAATCCTGGAAAGAGCCTGTATACCCAACAACAGATGATTGGATAAAAAAGTAGAATCTATATATAATGGAATACTACTCTGCTATAAAGAATGACAGATTTGAGACATTTCTAGAAAAACTGATGCACCCAGAAAATATAATTTTGAGTGAAATAAACCAGACACACAAGCTTAAGCACTGTATGGTATCTGTCATTTGAGTGAGGCAAAGTACAAATAAGTGATAAGTAATAAAGGATGGATAGAATCTGACATGGAGATAGATCTCTTGCAATAGGGGAGTGGTCCAAGGGGAAAAGCGTGAGAGGTAAGGAGTGAAAGGGAAGTAAAATAAAGACATGCCATGTATAGAAACCTAATAACCTCAATTAATGTAAACATTATATGTCATAACATGAGCTAAGATTAATGATATCAATAAGAATGAAAAATAGGATGGGGGAATTGAAGGAAGAGGGACGGAAGGGGAAGAGAATTTTAAAAAAACAAGAAACAAGGTATGGTATGTACACATAACCACTCCCCAAGATGATTGTAAACGGCCATGAACTTCGAACAGGTACTAATAAAAAAAGTCTCATGTCGGCATAGGCAGGACCTTTGGAAGTTGACTGGTTTATGGGGGCTTATAGTTGACTTGCTGTTAGGAGGTAGGTTCTGGTCAGGTGAGGCAGATGACTGAAGGCATGACCTGAAAGGCCTTACTTCCTTTCTTGGTTCCCTTGACTCTGTGCTTCCTGGATGCCACGATTTAAACTGCTATTCCTCCTCCATGCCCCTATGCTATACTGTCCTGCCCTAGAGCCAGCTGACCATGGACTGAAACATGAGCGAAAATGAACCTCCCCTCTCTTAAATTGTGGGAGTTGGTATTTTATCCCAGCAATGAGAAAAGTGATTAAGACAGCTCACCAAGACCTTCCCAGAGCCCCAGTTTATACAACCCCCTACTCCTCTCCCAAATACTTACATAATTTTTGAGCTTCTTCATGTAGAGGGCCAAGAGGAAAGAGGCAGCAGCTAGCTTGGAAGCCCTTTCGTGGACATAGTCATATTTCTGCAGGGTCATCTCGCAGATGAAGCGAGACAAAGTCAGTGTCTTCATGCTGACATTGAGACACTAAAGACAGCAAAAAAGACTTGTTCAACAATAAATTCATAAAAATAGTTCCAAGCAGAAGACCCCAACTCCAATTATCTCACCCCTCGTGTAAATAGCTCTTTGTGTGAACAGTGTACCTCTCCTGCCACTGGACTTACCCTAAAGTCCTTGTCTGCAAAAACAGACTCCTTATAGAGAGATTTTGAAATTACCAGTGAGATTTGCAATCATTAGGATTTTAAAAGAAATTATAAAATTTGTACCCTCCCACTTCCTCTTTCTATAGAAGCCATCCTTGGAAAAGTCTAAGTCTCCCAACTGTGACATTGCACCTCATTCTACCCTAGAAGTGTTCCATGCTCCAAAACCACCTTTTCTTCTTTGAAAAAAAAATTGTAACACACAGCATAGAGAAAAATGCACAGCACACACTTGTAGGATATAATAAATAATTTTATGTGGCCTCCTCTGAAACGAATACTCAAGAAAGAAAGAGAACATTGTCAGAATTTCCTCAAAACTTCTCATGTATCCCTACCTGATTAAAGATTCTTCTCCCTCACCCAACTCTGCCTTTATCTCAAAATCTTAAGGTACACTGTGTTAATTTGTAATGTGCCCTCTCCTCCATTGCTTCATAAAGATAGTTATTTGTTTTCAGTACTGGGGACTGAACTCAGGGCCTTTATAATGAGTTACATGCCCAGTACCCCTTCCTTTAATTTTGAGACAGGGTCTCATTAAGTTATTAAGTTGCCCAGGCTGAGCTCAAACATCTGATACTCCTACTTCAGCCTCCCAGAATGCTGAGATTATAGGGCTGTGCCACCAACACTGGGCTTAGACTGCCAACTTTTAAGTTAGGTAATTAGCAGTCTCTCTGGGTCAAGACTAACACAGAAGTAGAAAAACAAGGAAATGCCACCTCCCTCTTACCAAAGCATATCTGCGTAGATAATGATAGGCAACTGGAATGTTGATGTCAAACTTGAGGGTTTTCAGGATGCTCATTTCCATGGCAATCATCTCGTGTCGTTGATACATATCTTCACAGACATACAGGAAGTCATCCACACAAGGTGGAAAGAGCTCCTGTGGGTGAGGGGAGAAGCAGTCACAACCAGGCAGAGAGCTCTCTCCTCTCTGCTTATAGGTGAAAGGCAGAGGGGAAGAAGGGTGAAGGATAGGAGGCAATCATATTGCCTGCCACACACTTTCAGGGAAGCTCTGAAAGCCAGCTTCAGGTCGATCTGAGTGGTTCAACAGAAAAACAAAAGCAGAGAAATGAGAGGGAGGCCTGCTGTAAAACTGCACCACCATCAGAGGCAGACATAGCCTAATGGTATGGATTCTTACAGTGACAGAAGCAATATAAGAGGGCACAGGGCCTGACAGCAGCGATCTTCCCTCCTAATGAATGAGAACCAAGAATGCAAGATGTACGGTCCGTTCTGGGGGAGGAAGAGAAAGATACCAGCAGAAAGGAAAGTGTTACAGTTTAGATCTAAAATGTCCCCCAAAAGTCTCATGTGTTCAGAGCTGGGGATTTGGGAAGGTGATTGGATCATGAGGGCAGTATACTCCTCGGTGGATTGATGGGCTATTAAGAGATGGGACATGCCTTTGAAGGATATATATTATCAGCCCCTTCTTCTCTGGCTCTTTCCCCCTCTCTCTCTGCTTCTAGCTGCCATGAAGCGAGCAGCTTTCCTCTGCCATGCCCTTGTACCATGATGTTCCTGTCTAATATCAGGACTACAGTAATGGAACCAGCTGACCATGGACTGAAACATCCAAAACTATGAATCCAAATAAACTTTCCTCCTTAAAGTTGACTTTCTCATCACAGGGAGCCAGAGATGGAGAGAATGTACATGGGGCAGGATAGGGAGGTGCTGAGAGTTAAAGGAACCACTGCTCTGGGAGTGCTTTCCCATCTCCTGTCCTCTAGAGATTGAAGCTTGGATTTGGGGGAACCATCCGAGCCAAGAAAACCCCTGATTCTCTTCCTATCTCTCTCTCTCTCCCCTCATATAGTTTCAGATCACAGACTGGACCAACTTGGTATTGTAGAAAAAGAAACTGAGGTCCAGTGAAGGTAAGTGACTTGGTCAGGCTCATATACTAACTCCTTCCTTTCTCTCCTCATCCCATCTCCACAATTCCCCTCATAAAATATTCTGGTATTTTTTTAATTCTATGAGAGGAAGACACCTCTTATCCATAGGATTTAGCAGGAGCTCTTTGTCCTGGCCACCAGATGACAGATATCCCTGGTTCTAAGATTTGTTATGAAGTACCCCCCGCTTTCCTTCCCTTCTTCCTCTGTTCACCCTTCCTCTCTCTATTGACCAAGGTTCAACTTTGAGGCTGATATCTCCAGGAATAAGCCATGAGCATGAGCAGGAATGAGGGGGCATGAGATGGAGAGGAGAGGGCACAGGTATAGAGAGAAGTAACAAGGGTTTGGCAGGGGAGGGAGGGAGGGAGAAAGTTGGGGAGGGAGGGGGAGGACAGTATATGAGCTTCTCATTGTGACAAGCATGGTCCATTGCTGGGGCAAAAGACCTAACACCCACAAGTTAATAGAAGACAGGTTTATTTTGGCTTACAGTTTCAGTGGATTCAGTCTATGGTAAGCTATCTCCAAGGCAGAAATGGGGCACAGCAGAACAGTTTGGCAGAGGAAAGCTATTCAACACATGGCAGCCAAAAAGCAGACAGAGAAGAGAGGATCCAGGGACAAGAATACACCCTTCCAAGTCATGCACTCAGTGGTCCATTCTTTTCAACCAGGTTACACCTGTAGAAGTGAGACATTGTGGGAACATTTTATATCTAAACAATAATATTCTACCTCTGGCCCCCAAAAGTCTCATGTCCATCTTATTATGCAAAATGCATTTAGTCCATCTCTAAGAGTTGCCAAAGTCTTAACAGTTCCAGCACTGCTGAAAAGTCCAAGTCCAAAGTCTCTGAGACTCAAAGCAAACTCTTAGCTGTGAGTTCCTAGAAAAATAAAAAAGTTAAGCACTTCTCAACATACAACGGCACAGGGTAAACATCCCCATTCCAAAAGGGAGGAATATAGGAACAATAAGAAATCAGACCAATGCAAGGCTGAAAGCCAGCAGGTCAAACATTAAATCCTACAGCTGCATGTCAAGCACCAGGGGCAGACTTTGGTGAGATGTGAGCTCCAAAGGGCTTGGGCAGCCTATGGCCTTATTGGTTGCAGCCCACATAGCTTCTTTCTTGGGCTGGATTCGTTCACTGACAGCAGCATTCCTCCACAGCATTCCATGTTCATGGCATCTTCAACTTCCTAGGGTCTCCATTACACCTTCACTCTCACAGCTTTATGCATTGCCCTCTCATGGGCCCCTGGAAGGAACTGTGACTCTGCCATAGATTTTTGCCTGGCCTCTTAGGCCTTCTTTTGAAATCTGAGCAGTAGCCTCTGTGATCCCATAACTTTTGCATTCTGGATACCTGAAAAACTATCACCATATACCAAGATCAGTCACCAACTTGAGCAGTAGCTGGCCTCCCTTGGACCATGGTTTAGCAATTTCTGAGTGTCTGGATGCCCAAACTCAGGTATATACTTCCCTAGGCAATCCTGAATAAGCAGGCATTCCAGGGACACTCCTCTCAAATGAAAGATTTACAGTGTTGTACCCTTGAGCCTAGGATGGTTGGGGTCTTGCTGATTTCTGAGTTGCCCTTAAAATATCTTTCTTTTTGTCCTTGTACAAAATACTTGGCTTCTTTTTAATATGAATCTTTTTGGCAATCATGTTCTCTTTTGCCCCAACTTTGTAACCACTTCCTCTCTGGCAAAACTGCAAACCTTACAAAGTCCCTATCATGAATGTCATCATTATGTATATACAAATGTATTAATAAAATTTTTTAAAATCATTCAGCTCTGAAGTTTGCTCCTGATTCTCAGTACAGATCTGGCTAAAAGTAGACAGCAGTACCTATGCTGCAGCCTCAACTTTGAGCTGCTTTGAAATTTCCTCTTCCAAATTAGTCTGTCAGCCTTAATCTTCATCTTCCACAAGATCTCAGGACATGGGCAAAATGTGGACGAAATTTTTGCCAGAGTATAACACACATAGCCTCTAGTCTACCAGTGGAGTTCTTGTTCGCAACTGGAACCTTGAGTTTGGTCTTTACTGTGCACATTCCTGTTTTTTTGTTTCTTTTTTTTTGTATTAAATTCCTTTATTGGTACATTGTAGGTATACAACACAATTACATTTCTCATTGGGAATTGTACCTTTATATAATGCATC